CAATATTCAGCATTCTTAAAGAATTTTCAATCCAGAATTTCATATCCAGCCAAACAAAACTTCATAAGCAAAGGAGAAATAAAATCCTTTACAGACAAGGAAACACTGAGAGAGTTTGTTACCACCAGGCCTGCCTTACAAGAGCTCCTGAAGGAAGCACTAAACATGGAAAGGAACAACCAGTACCAGCCACTGCAAAAGCATACCAAATTGTAAAGACCATCAAACGCTATGAAGAAACTGCATCAACTAACGGCAAAATAACCAGCTAGCATCATAATGATAGTATCAAATTCACACATAATATTAACCTTAAATGTAAATGGGCTAAATGCCCCAATTAAAAGACACAGAATGGCAAATTGGATGAAGAGTCAAGACCCATCAGTGTGCTGTATTCAGGAGACCCATCTCATATGAAAAGACACACATAGGCTCAAAATAAAGGGGTGGAGGAATATTTACCAAGCAAATAGCAGAAAAAACCAGGGGCTGCAATCCTAGTCTCTGATAAACCAGAGTTTAAACCACAAAGATCAAAAGAGGCAAAGAAGGGCATTACATAATGGTAGAGAGATCAATGCAATGAGAAGGGCTAACTATTCTAAATATATATGCCCTCAATACAGGACTACCCAGATTCGTAACTACCCAGATTCGTAACACAAGTTCTTAGAGATCTACAAAGAGACTTAGACTCCCACACAATAATAGTGGGAGACTTTGACACCTCACTGTCAGTATTAGACAGATCAATGAGACAGAAAATTAACCAGGACTTGAACTCAGCTGTGGAGCAAGTAGACCTAATAGACATCTACAGAACTCTCCACCATAAATCAACAGAATATACATTCTTCTCAGCACCACATAGCACTTATTCTAAAATTGACCACATAATTGGAAGTAAAACAGTCCTCAGCAAATGCAAAAGAACGGAAATCATAACAGTCTCTCAGACCACAGTGCAATGAAAGTAGAACTCAGTACTAAGAAACTCACTCAAAACCACACAACTGCGTTGAAACTGAACAACCTGCTCCTGAATGACTACTGGGTAGGTAACAAAATGAAGGCGGAAATAAAGATGTTATTTGAAGCCAATGAGAGCAAAGACACAATGTACCAGAATTTCTGGGACACATTTAAAGCAGTGTGTAGAGGGAAATTTATAGCACTAAATGCTCACAAGAGAAAGCAGGAAAGATCTAAAATCGACACCTGAATATCACAATTAAAAGAACTAGAGAGGCAAGAGCAAACAAATTCAAAAGCTAGCAGAAGACAAGAAATAACTGAGAGCAGAACTGAAGGAGATAGAGACAAGAAAAACCCTTTAAAACATCAGTGAATCCAGGAGCTGGTTTTTTGAAAAGATCGACAAAATAGACCACTAGTGAGCCTAATAAAGAAGAAAAGAGAGAAGAATCAAATAGATGCAATGAAAAATGATAAAGGGGATATCACCACTGATTCCACAGAAATACAGACTACCATGAGAGCCATCAGAGAATACTATAAACATCTCTACACAAATAAACCAGAAGATCTAGAAGAAATGGATAAATCACTGGACACTTACACCCTCCCAAGACTAAACCAAGAAGAAGTCAAATCCCTGAATAGACCAATAACAAGTTCTGAAATTGAGGCAGCAATTAATAGCCTACCAACCAAAAAAAGTCCAGGACCAGACAGATCCACAGCCGAATTCTACCAGAGGTACAAAGAGGAGCTGGTACCATTCCTTCTGAAACTATTCCAAACAATAGAAAAAGAGGGACTCCTCCCTAACTCATTTAATGAGGCCAGCATCATCCTGATACCAAAATCTGGCAGAGACACAACAATGAAAAAAATTTCAGACCAATATCCCTGATGAACATCAATGTGAAAATCCTCAATAAAATACTAGCAAACTGAATCCAGCAGATATCAAAAAGCTTATCCACCTCGGTAAAGTCAGCTTCATCCCTGGGCTACAAGGCTCATTCGACATACGCAAATCAATAAATGTAATCCATCACATAAACAGAACCAATGACAAATACCACATGATTATCTCAATAGATGCACAAAAGGGCTTCAACAAAATTCAGCAGTGCTCCATGCTAAAAACTCTCAATAAACTAGGCATTGATGGAGTGTATCTCAAAATAATAAGAGCTATTTATGACAAACCCACAGCCAATAGCATACTGAATGGGCAAAAACTGGAAGCATTACCTTTAAAAACCAGCACAAGACAAGGATGCCCTCTCTCACCACTCCTATTCAACATAGTATTGGAAGTTCTGGCCAGGGCAGTCAGGCAAGAGAAAGAAATAAAGGGTATTCAGTTACGAAAAGAGCAAGTCAAATTGTCTCTGTTTGCAGATGACATGATTGTATATTTAGAAAACCCCATTGTGTCAGCCCAGAAACTCCTTAAGCTGATAAGCAACTTCAGCAAAGTCTCGAGATACAAAATTAACGTGCAAAAATCACAAGCATTCCTATACACCAATAACAGACAAACAGAGAGCCAAATCACAAGTAAACTCCCATTCACAGTTGTTACTAAGAGAATAAAACACCTAGGAATACAACTTACAAGGAATGTGAAGGACCTCTTCAAGGAGAAGTACAAACCACTGCTCAAGGAAATAAGAGAGGACACAAACAAATGGAAAAATATTCCATGCTTATGGATAGGAAGAATCAATATCATGAAAATGGCTATACTGCCCAAAGTAATTTATAGATTAAATGCTGTCCCCATCAAGCTACATTGAGTTTCTTCTTCACAGAATTGGAAAAAACTACTTTGAATTTCACATGGAACCAAAAAAGAGCCCACATAGCCAAGACAATCCTAAGCAAAAAGAACAAAGCTGGAGACAGCATGCTACCTGATTTCAAACTATACTACAAGGCTACAGTAACAAAAACAGCATGGTACTGATACCAAAACAGATATATAGACCAATGGAACAGAACAGAAGCCTCAGAAATAATGCCACACATCTACAACCATCTGATCTTTGACAAACCTGACAAAAACAAGCCATGGGGAAATGTTTCCCTATTTAATAAGTGGTATTGGGAAAACTGGCTAGCCATATGCAGAAAGCTGAAACTGGATCCCTTCCTTACACCTTATACAAAAGTTAAGATGGTTTAAAGACTTAAAATGTAAGACCTAAAACCATAAAAACCCTAGAAGAAAACCTAGACAGTACCATTCAGGACATAGGCATGGGCAAAGACTTCATGACTAAAACACCAAAAGCAATGGCAACAAAAGCCAGAATTGACAAATGGGATCTGACTAAACTAAAGAGCTTCTGCCCAGCAGAAGAAACAATCATCAGAGTGAACAGGCAACCTACAGAATGGGAGAAGATTTTTGCAATATATTCCTCTGACAAAGGGCTAATATCCAGAATGAAACAGATTTACAAAAAAAAAAAAAAACCCCATCAAAAAGTGGGCAAAGGATATGAACAGACACTTCTCAAAAGAAGATACTTATGCAGCCAACAAACATGAAAAACAGCTCATCATCACTGGTCATTAGAGAAATGGAAATCAAAACCACAATGAGATACCATCTCACACCAGTTAGAGTGGCGATCATTAAAAAGTCAGGAAACAACAGATGCTGGAGTGGATGTGGAGAAACAGGAACACTTTTGCACTGTTGGTGGGAGTGTATATTAGTTCAACCATTGTGGAAGACAGTGTGGCGATTCCTCAAGGATCTAGAACTAGAAATACCATTTGACCCAGCAATCCCATTACTGGTTATATACCCAAAGTATTATAAATCTTTCTATAAAGACATATGCACGTGTATGTTGATTGCCACACTGTTTACAATAGCAAAGACTTGGAACCAACCCGAATGCCCATCAATGATAGACTGGATAAAGAAAATGTAGCACATATACACCATAGAATATTATGCAGCCATAAAAAAGGATGAGTTTATGCACTTTGCAGGGACATGGATGACTCTGGAAACCATCATTCTCGGCAAACTATCACAAGAACAGAAAACCAAACACCGCATGTTCTCACTCATAAGTGGGAGTTGATCAATGAGAACACATGGACACAGGAAGGGGAACATCACACACTGGGGCCTGTCAGTGGGTGGGGACTAGGGGAGGGATAGCATTAGGAGAAATACCTAATGTAGATGACCGGTTGATGGGTGCAGCAAACCACCACGGCACATGTATACCAATGTAACAAACCTGTACATTCTGCACATGTACCTACCTCAGAACTTAAGTATAATAAAATAAATAAATACTTTCAACAGTAAAATAAATAAATACTTTCAACATTTAAAAAAAAAAAAACACCCTTAGGGTATTGAGGACCTCACACAATCCTAATTCTTCACCAAAAGCCACCTAGCAGACCTGCTATTCAGACGAATCTGACGTTTTTGGTATTTTCAAATAACATCCTCCCACCCTACTTCAATGGCTATTCTGATGCCACTGCCGTGGCAGTAGTAGTTCGAATTAAATTTATTTGCAGTTCTTAGAGTGGCATTATTAATTCCTGAAAATGATTTAACAGTATCAAAATGCCTGACTATAAAAGTTGAGCTATAGTATTTATTCAGAATTAAACCACTCCCTTGTCCTCTTGGAAAAATAACATTTCTTTTAGCTTTACTCTCTTGTAGCTAAATAAGAGAAGTGACTACAGGTAATCTTTTTGGGAGAATTGTGTACTGCCTATACTTTCTCTCTCTTTTTTTTTTTTTTTTCCTTTTGAGACGGAGTTTTGCTCTCATTGCCCAGGTCTGAGTGCAGTGGTACAATCTTGGCTCACTACAGCCTTTGCCTCCTGGGTTCAAGCGATTCTCCTGCCTCAGCCTCCTGAGTAGCTGGGATTATAGGTGCCCACCACCACGCCCAGCTTATTTTTTGTATTTTTAGTAGAGATGGGGTTTCATCATGTTGACCAGGCTCCTGGCCAAGTCTCAAACTCCTGACCTCAGGTGATCCACCCGTCTCGGCCTCCCAAAGTGCAGGGATTACAGGCATGAGGCACCGCACCCGACCACCACCTAAACTTTCCATGGCCACACTGTTACAGATCCTTATTCAGGGTAGTGGGGACATAAAAACAACCTTGTTCACTCAGCACTGGGCACCAAACTATACACTGTATACTCATAGAAGCAGAGGCTATGACTTTTATTTATTTATTCATTCATTCATTCAGCAGATAGTAGTATCTGATGGTGGGCTGGATACTTCTTAGGTACCACACTGGGCCTATTGCATCATGGGCACATAGTAAAAGTTCCGTATGTCCAGGAATGATGTAAAGCCAACAGTGGAATAATGCGAGCAACTGTTTTTCGAGAAGAAATAGACTTTACCAGAATGCCAAAATGGGCTGCTAAAGGAAGGGCAGCCCATCAGTGCTGTCACCAGCTCCTGAAACCCTGGGGCTTGTTTACTCCCACCATTGCAGTGGAGAACGTGTCTGAACCTCCTGCTTGGCTTTACCCGCCACATTAGCTCCTTCGTTGTTTCAGTTTAAGTAGCTTGGGTAATGTGCAGAGAATTTCTTTGCCTTGTATTATTTATGCTGAGAATCAGCTGGTTGGGTGGTAAGTTCCTAGGGAGAAGCTAATGGGAAGGTGATCTATACAGTGTGATAGAAGACAATCAAGCTTTCTTGCTGCATCTTTTCTTCCTTCAGAACTTCAGCCTCTCTTCTCCCTTCCGACTCCCATTAGGATATTCCGAAGTGAAAAAAAGGCCAAGAGGAGAGAATGAGATCTAGCAAAATTGTAAACAAAGGAACAGAGCCACAAACCTGTTTTACATTCACATAAAATGTTACATTGATTGATTAAACAGTTTAAAAATATCTTCATATGTATGGTACCTTTGATCATAAAACCAGGTCATATTAAGGTGACCTCTATTGAAGAGTTCTGTTTAGGGTCACTGTGTGCCAACCACCCTCATTAAAATAGTCACAGATGTAGGTAGAGGAAACCAGATAAAAGGAAGATCTCTATCTGCTTCCCCCTAGCAATCCTTACCTAGCATAACTTAAGGACAGCCAGATGGAAGAGATACATGGGGCAAGGTGTGGGGAAGCAGCAGAGCTTCTCTCCTCTGGGAGCGCCACCCTCCCAGCACCTCCATATGTTCAGCAACCCAGAAATTCCCCTAAACTCTATCCTATTGAGTTTTTATGGAGGCTTCATTTCATAGGCATGATTGATTTGAGCATTGACGACTGGTGATTATCGAAATCCCCAGATCCTCTCGTTTCCAAGGGGTTGGGGCTGGAGCCGGAAGTTTCAGCCTTCTTATTGCATGATGGGTTCTCCAGCAGCCAGCCCCACACCTGTCACATTAGCTTGCAAAAGACACGTACCACTTCAGAGAGTCAGAGTTTTCGGAGCCCTGTGCCAGGAAATGGGGGCAGAGACTAATAATAGATTTATTATTAAAAGTCACAATATCACAGGCAGTTTCTTTAAAAACTAAACATTCACTTACTATACAACTCAGCAATTTTACTGTTGGGCATTTATCCCAGAGAAATAAAAATATATTCAATACAGAAATGTCTATAGTTTTATTCACAGTGCCACAAATTGGAAGGAAAGAACTTAAATGTCCTTCGGCGGGTGAACAGTGAAACAAATTACGCATCCATGTCATGGAATACTACTTGGCAGTAAACAAGAGCAAACTGTGGGCATGTGGAGCAACTTGGTCTCAGGGCATTGTGCTGAATGAAAAGCCTTAAGATGTCACGTGAACGATTCCATTTAGGTAACATTCTTTAAATAGCAGAATCATAGAAATGAAACACAAAGGAGTGGTTGCCAGAGGTTAGGAGTGTTGCAGTGTGCGGAGGTATGTGATGGTCAGAGATAACATGAAAGAGAACTCTGTGGTGATGGAATAGTCCTGTAAGTTGATAGAGGCTGTTGTTACAGGAAGCCGCCCATGTGATGAAATGACAGAGACCCGCACACACGCGTTGCAGCAATGTCAGATCCCTGGTTTTACTCCTGTACTGTAGTCACGTAACATGATAACTGGGGAGACGGTGAGGGAGAATTCTAAGCAGAAGGCTCACGTGGCTTCCTGCCTCCTACCATGCCACCCCCACCGGATGCATTAAACTTACAGTCTGAGTCAGCCTGCCTCTGTCCTCATCCCTCTGTCTGTCTGTCTCTTTCCCTGCCTCCCTCCCTGCCTCCTCACTGTTTCACATGGTCATTATAAAAGAGAAACCTCAAAAATTAGGAAATGCAGATAAATTGAAAGGAAAAATTTTAAACCATGAGGTTGTTTCTTTCTTATTTAAATATGGTGATTCCCTTGGGCCCGGGCAGGATCTGTAGCCCGCAGCCTTTGAGTTCTGGACCCATCCTGTGAGATTTTTAGGGTTCAAAGTAGAAAGATTTGGTCCCACTTTCTGCTTCCAGTCCTGTCTGGTACCCGCTGCCTAATCTTTTCTGGCTAATCATTGTGCTTCCCAGTAATTATGTTTACCATTTTCTGACATAGGGATTAACAACATAGGCTCTGCACTCAGAGTGCCTAGGTTTAAGTCTTGACTCCACTACCTCCTTAGTAGTTCTTCAGTCTCTTTGTGCCTCAGTTTCTTCATTTGTAACTACCACCTATCTCAGAAGCCATGGGAAGGATTAAGGGCCGTGGTAGGAAGCACTCACTGACTCTTGGATGTCATTATTTATGGTCATTACTTGGTGTCTCTACTGCATTTTGTTTATCCGCTGCCGGTTCCGTGCCTGCCCATCAGTGTGCCTTGTGCCTGTTCTGTAGATTTTATTTCACAGTCTCTTGGTTTTGGTGGGTGGCACACTGCCCTGAGAGGACGGGGACGTGAGAAGGATTCTGAGCCCTTTAGTTGTCTCTAGTGCTACATCATGATTGTCATCATTGCTGTAAACCAAAAAGTATCTGAGACAAGTCTTAGTCGATTTAGAATGTGTGTTTTGCTAAAGTTAATGACGCACCCATGACACAGCCTCAGGAGGTCCCGACAACGTGTGCCCCAGGGTGGTCGGGGTACAGCTTGCTTTTATACACTTTAGGGAGACATGAGACATCAAGCAATGTATGTAAGATGTACATACATTTATGTTCGGTCCAGTAAGGTGGAGCAATTCGAAGTGGGTGGGGGGTTTCCAAGTCAAGTAGGTAAGAGACAAAAAGCTGCATTCTTTTGAGTCCTTTATCAGCCTTCTAATGAATACACAATTGTGTGTGACTCAGTGAACCTACATTTTTACATGAACAATAGGGTAGAGGAAGCAATCAGATACGCATTTGTCTCAGGTGAGCTTCAGAGGGATGACTTTGAGTTGTGTCTGTCCTTTGTCCATAAGGAATTTTCTTGTGGGCAAATGGTGAGGAAGGGATGTGGGTTGTTATCTTTGTAGCTATCTTATTTAGCAATAAAATGGGAGGCAGGTTTGCCTGACGTAGTTTCCAGCTTGACTTTTCCCTTGGCTTAGTGATTTAGTTTCCTTTTGCATTGCTAACTCAATCACAGGAGACAGGAGTGTGGACTGATTATAGCAAGAATGCCAAAGTATGTAACAGCTTCCTTAGTCATGGTAGAGATTGAGAAACGTCAGCTCACCTAAGCTTTGAGGTTAGCTGGAGTCCAGTAGAAGAGTTATAACTAAGCACCCGCCCTTGTCTGTTTCCACTGGTGCCCATTCATTGAAGCTGAGATTGGACTGTGACTATGTACCAGTAGCAAAGATGATGGAAGTCAAACATTGCTGTTAGTTTTAGGGGCTCACGGCCTGCTGGGGAAGGGACCCATCGGCCAGGCAGGGTTCAAATGCTCCTCAGAGTGTGCCAGCAGCCTCAGCCTCAGGGAGAGCTTGTCAGGGGGTGTTTTACAAGGTCTCCAAAAGCCTCTTATGCCCTTCAGAGTGAAAAGCACGGCATTGGTGATGAAGTCTTGTGGCAAATATGCAAGGCACATGTGGATATTTCCTTCTCTTGGAGACTTAGGAGGTAGCCCCTGTCTCCTAGTGCAGTGTTTATAGCATAGTCCACTGGGACTGCTGCTCTGACAGACTGTGTCACTGCTTTGGGAATGTTTTTTGGAACTTCCAGAAAGCCTCAGTAAATCCTGACTGCCATGTAACTGTGTCCTGTGCTGCTGAGCTCTTAACATGAAGCAGCCGCAGTGACCCTGGCGGGTCGGGCTGACGTGCGTGGGAACGGTGGGAGTGACCCTGGCTGGGAAGCAGGGAGGCCTGGATATTGTTTCTCCTGGCTCTGTGTCCTGCGGCTCTTGTCCCTGTGCTCAGAGCTCTCAAGCACCCACGATGGCCTTCTCAGGCCGAGCGCGCCCCTGCGTTATCCCAGAGAACGAAGAAATCCCACGAGCGGCCCTTAACAGTGTCCCCGAGGCCAATGGGACCGAGGACGAGAGGGCTGTCTCCAAACTGCAGCGCAGGCACAGTGACGTGAAAGTCTACAAGGAGTTCTGTGACTTTTATGCGAAATTGTGAGTGTCTCCTCTCCTGGAGTGCCCTCTTCCAGGTCGGGCGTTCTTGGCTGTCTGTTCAGGAGCCATCCTGAGCTGGCCCATACAATTTTATTGACTGGACTTTGAGTGGGAGTTTTCCAGGGTGGTAGGGCTCCGAGGGGCTCGCAGTACAGCACGTTTAGGGAGACAGGAGGCTCCTTGTCGGTAAGACATGCAGCGACACGCAGATGGGAGGGAGGTGCCGCCCTCACTGAGAGCACCGCGGCCCCGTCTTCAGTAGATTCCTGATCACTTGGTAGCTGCATTTTCATCATGTCGTCCACAGGGGAGGCTTATCGTTGTCGCTGTCAGGAATTACATTAGAAAACAGCCCAAAGATAAGGGGCAGATGGGTTGAAACAGTGAAAAAAACAAATTACAGACTGTTTAAAGATAAATATTTTTGTTATGTGTAACAATCAACAGTTTGAAGTAAGCTAACTGGGTTTCTTAATTGAATGAATAAATACATATATTGTATAAGTAGCAAATCAATACACATATAGAACATACTGTTAACTCGAAAAAGCTAGCCTAATTTATATTATTAAATGGGTTTTAGTAAACACATTTTTTGAGAAAATGCAGAGTAGCCATCAGACCAGCTCAAGATTATTGACCTCATTCAAAGTTGTGAGCTTAGAATTACTGCATATCCCCAATTTGTCAAGTAAGAGTTAATGAGAATTTAACTGACCCGGTTCTCTACTTCCATAATCCGTTCTCTGTGGTACAGATGTCACTTATCTTCACAACTCACAGAGAGCTCTTGGTCAGTTGGACAGTAACTGGGGAATTGTAATAATACAGTCACCAATGTTTTCACTGCTTGAACTCTCAAGATGATTTTTGGATTTATACATTGCTGCATTTTAGGACCAAACAATTTGTTTTGCACACTTGAATAATGGAAAGCAAGATATCAAGTGTGCTGTGTGAGGTTGATTTGTGGAAGTAGATCAGCTTCATCAGTCATGCCTGGCCTGATTTTTACATATAAATATCTATAGATAGGTAGATACTTCCCCACTTACGTATTTCTTGTCATCAACAGTTTTTAGTGAAAATCTTCTTCTTAAAAATTAGCTAATTAATTATAACTAATCCAATAGCTATAACTGTCACTAATGACTTTTTTAAAGTAATTTCTGTCATCTGTATTAAATATAAAATCAACATTTAAAAAAAATAAAAAATAAAAAACAGGCATTGTGCCAGAGGGTCAAAGGCAAAAGAGGAAAGGGAAGCCTGACTGGTTCAGGGGGCAGCAAGGGGATTGTTCTGTTTCCTTTTTTCCTCTGCTTGTTATAAAAAGGAATACTTCTTGCAAAACACATATTATGTTACTTCTAAAACTAGCGCATTTTTCCCGTGTGTGGGAAGTAACTATGTGCTTGTTTTTATGATGTAGCTACCTATTTCCTAATTCTACTTGAGTATTTGAACTTAAGTAGAAACAATCTATATTATAATGAGTTTAAACTGGTCAGTGATAATCAAACATTTTCATCTAAGGGCCTCTTAACACTTAAAAACTATTAAGGTCCCCAAAGAACTTTCATTTATCAGTATTTACTGTATGAGAAATTTAAACTGGGAACAATTTAAAATACTTATTATTTCATTTAAAAAAAAACAATAAGCTTATTACATGTTAATAGCAAATGTTAATATTAATGTTTTCATGAAAAATAACTGTTTTCCAAAATGGAAGAGGCTTAGAGGAAAGGATGGCATTATGTTACATTTTTGTGAATCTTGTTAATATCTGTCTTAATAAAAGTTTCTCATACTTGTTTCTGCATTCAACCTATTACGGTATATTGTTTTAGATGAAATATATGAAGAAAATGTGGCCTCCCACAGAGATGTAGCTGGAAAACAGAGGAGCTTTCCACCTCCTGAAAGAGTCATGGTGACCCCGACATTTTGGAAACCACTGATTTAGGTGATAATGAGCCAGGACATTCTAGAATATTCTTTTTGGGCTCTTTTAGAGTCCCATTAAGATTGTTGAGGTTTGGTGAATCTTTTGAGAGGGTTTAGAATTAACCACAGTGCCATATATTTGAGCAGCATCTTCTGGTTTCCAAATGGTTTTAAATACTTTTTCCTTGGAACAATAATGAGAACAGTACTGAGAATGACCAGGCAGGTGTGGAGCTTACCATGTTCCTCCATCCAGGAACACCTGTGGACTTTGGTCAGGAAGAAGGAAGAAGCACAGACCTCTCCAGAGTTTTGTGAAACTGCCACAGTCATCTAGCTTGTGGCAAAGCTGGGCGATGATGAGAATTGTACAGATTTTTTCCCCAGCCCACAGGAACTTTGAAATGACAAAATGGAAATTCATTTTAACATGAGGCTTAGGCCAGGTTTACTGAGCAGTGAAGCTGCTTCCCTTTCTCCCTTCCTTCCTTTTTTTTGTGACATTTAATTCTGCATTCAAACCTGTTAGATAAAGTTGATCTTTGACTGGTCTGAAGTGATGAACATGGTGTGTCTACACGCAGTTATTTATGGCAAGGCTACAAAGCGGGCTGACTGTTTTGTGAAACATTTGTGGGAGGAAGGCAGAGGGAAAGTTGTCTTCCAGAGGTGTGGAGGGGAGTGAAGCAAGTAAGTGGGACCACTTTTGCTAAGGAAACAGCAAAACTTGGAAACCAATAGGGGCAAGGCAGTTAGTTACTCCGTCTATAGAATGGAGACTGTCCACCTGTCTGTCTCACTAGTTGGTTGTGAAAATTCAGGAGAAAGTTGGTAATAACTTCATGAAGTACATTGATTAAATATTTGGAGGGTCAGAAGCTGTACCAGGGGACTAGACACACAGGTGTAGAGCTCATGCTGTGAGTAGTCCTGTGAAAATAAACTGGCCAAAAATTGAAGGACCACTTGACCAGTTCCTGCCCTGCATGGGGGACCTTCTCCCTACAGATAGGTCTTCATGTGAAATCCTGATCTAATTGTATGCCTGTCGAAGCCGTGTTGCTTTTCTTTTTTTTTTTTTTCCTTTTTGAAATGGAGTTTTGTTCTTGGTGCCCAGGCTGGAGTGCAGTGGTGAAATCTCGGCTCACTGCAACCTCTGCCTCCCAGGTTCAAGTGATTCTCTTGCCTCAGCCTCCCAAGCAGCTAGGACTACAGGCATGCACCACCACACCCGGCTAATTTTGTATTTTTATTAGAGACGAGGTTTTACCATGTTGGTCACACTGGTCTCGAACTCTTGACCTCAAGTAATCCATCGGCCTCAGCCTCCCAAAGTCCTGGGATTACAGGCGTGAGCCACCTCACCCAGCTGTCATGTTGCTTTTCTTCTTGCAAACTGCACAATGGTTAGAGCCTGAGATTATTTATTGAATGCCTTCTGTGTTTTAAGGTGTAGTGGGGTTACTGATGGGGGGATTTCCCACATCACCAGCCACAACAGTGGTTACTTGACAGCCTGGTATCACTTTCCTAACCATGAAACGTGGTGGTATCCCTGTCATGTCCTTTCAAGTGTTTGAAATTCGTGGTGTAATCCGTTTTGATTGACAGTGATTTTATGAGCAGGGAACCTGGATTTCTAGTCCCGTGCCTTCCTTTAACTAATTAGCCTTGTGATGTTGGTCTGATCCTTCCATCTCTGTGAACCTCTTTTGCCATCTGTAAAATGATCTTTATTATGTAAAATTTTGTGATTTTAAGATACACTTTATAATACTGGTAATCAGGTTCGTCTTACCGATTAGGGAACAGGACTGGGGCATCTTGGCTGGTTTTAAGGTTACTTAAGCAGTTGCTTTCCACAGAATTTAATCAAAGGGGTAACCTGTGTCTAGGTTATATGGTATGGCATTTAGTTGACAAGCATTTTAGATTCTATTCTTAGAAGGGAAAGAAATTGGCCTTGAGATGCTGACTTTTGGATATTTTAATTAAGCTTCTTATAAAGCTGTAAACCAAGTTCCTTGAGAGCAGCTTATAACTTTCATCTCTGTCTCAGGTGCCTAACACATAGTAGGCACGCACTCATAATATATTTAGCAAGAAAAATGCCAAAAATGTTAGAGACAGAATCAAAGTGGGACACCCTTACAGAGTCTCAGATGCTAGGGTAGAGGCTAAGGAGTCCAAGTTCAGAGCACGTAAGGAACAAGCGAGAAACTGAACTTTTTAGATAAAATAGGGTTTTTGTGATCAGATAGAATTCGCTGCTCACGGTCCTTGGTGTGGTTTGGTCTTCAATCTAAGAAGAGGCTGACGGTCTGCAACCTGCTGTTCTTTGTGTGTTACAGCAACATGGCCAATGCCCTGGCCAGCGCCACTTGTGAGCGCTGCAAGGGCGGCTTTGCACCCGCTGAGAAGATCGTGAACAGTAACGGGGAGCTGTACCATGAACAGTGTTTCGTGTGCGCTCAGTGCTTCCAGCAGTTCCCAGAAGGACTCTTCTATGAGGTGAGTTGTGCTAGACAAAAGCAGGGAGGTGCCATTCCCCGCCCTCCCGCTTCCTGCCCTTCTTTTCTGAGGCCTCCTCCTTCATGTTCAGTTTCATGATGAAAGACTGAATTGAAGTGTCAGATGCATGCCAGGTATTTGATAGCTATGAGGTCAGAGGTGGAATCTGTATGGCCCATATGGGCAGTGGCGTGGATGGGACACCCTCACAGACCCTGCATTCATATAGCTCAGTTCGTTGTCCTATTTCAGAACCCAGAGTCCCTTATGACAGAGCCTTTCAGACCTAAGCAGCTCAGCTCCACATAAAAAATTCTTTCCGAGTCTTCATCCACACTCAGGCCCCCAACATACCTCACCCATTCCTGTCTCTGTGTCTGCCCCCTTCTCAGAGGACCACTGGACCCGCTGTAAAGGAGAGTGTGTGGTGTACGTCACCCCCTCCACAACTTCCCAGCCTCGAGCCAGGAGCGTCCATGCATTTATTTTCTAAGGAAAAAAATAAGTATTTTAGGGAACTAGACTGTCTACATTTAGCTCTTCTGGGTGTGTATGTTCTTTTCCAAATACTTGTTTTTCTTGGTCGTCAGGTGTTAGCATATGGTCTGCATTTCCTTTGTAGTGTATTTGGTATTCTCAACATGACTGAAACCCCTTTCTCGTTGTTTTGTATTGTTTGGTTTTGTTTGAGACAAAGTCCTATTGCATAGCCCAGGCTAGAGTGTAGTGGTATGATTATAGCTCATTGCAGCCTTGAACTGCTAAGCTCAAGTGATCCTCCAGCCTCAGCCTCCTGAGTAGCTGGGACTGCAGGCATATGCCACCACGCCCGACTAATTTTATTTTTTCTAGAAACGGAGTCTCCCTCTGTTGCCCAGGCTGGTCTCGAACTCCTGGTCTCAGGTGATCCTCGGCCTCCCAAAGTGCTAGGATTACAGGCATGAACCACCATGTCCGGCCTACTGAAACCCCTTTCTCACAGTAAACATGTATTTTGGGGGATAATCTAGGGATGCTGACCCCAGGCTGTAAATGAAGGTGAGAATGAGGTATATGTGTGTGTTAGATCAAATAGGTAATTTACTTTTACCACCTTACTTCTTACATATTTGTACATATCTGCACATCTATATATGATAATATATGTATGTAGAATTATTTTATAGCTAGAGGTGGCTGCTCTTTGATTTCTTCCTTTGCCTGGCAGATTTTTATATTTCCCTGTTACATAAACCATGCTTGAGCAAGGAAAGGTAGTTTACAAAGATCATTGGTAAGTCCGTTGTGTGCCTCTCAGGCAGCATTTTCCCATAGAAACAAACATCATGAGATGGGGGTTCCCAGGCCAGCCCACAGAAAAGCTGTTTACCCCGTCACGGGTACATGAAATTTAGGGCTAGCAAGTATGTAATAATGTCACTCTGGGAAACAGCTTTAAGGGTTTGGGTTAGGGAATGCTATTTTATTTACTAGTACACATTTTTTAAAGCTCCTATTGTGTCCCCAAAACACACATTCCCGACAACAAAAACCTTAGCAGTGGAAAGAGGTCTTCATTTTCTCTTTTCTTCTAATTCTTTTTTTTTACTTTATTTCTTTAGGCCTCCAAACATGCTCTGTGTATTTTCTTGCAGTTTTTCCTGTTCTTCCTGACTCCTTCGCTGGGCAGTGGGAGTCTTTTGGGCAAGGATGATGGGTTTAGGGATGGGCAAATGACAGTTGTGAGGATGGACAGGAGCAGGAGAGGCCAATATACCACAGCAGAAGAGGGCGGGAGAGGAGCTCCAGAGATGTGAATGGAGGTATCAAGCATAGAGACCCCTACTGAGGCTGTAGGTAGACTGTGATTGGCTGGTGAGGAGAAGGAAAAGGAAATCCCTAGGTGCTAAGGCAGCAAGAAGAGAGGGCGTTTGCTGGTGCTAGTGATGGTGAGCCATGACTCAATTCAGGTAGAGGGACCTGAGGACCTGCTCTACCTCAGCACCATGGAGGCCTGCCAGGACTGTGGCAAGGAAGGAGATGAGACTCCCAAGGCACATTGAAGGGAATTCTGGAAAGCTGGCTTGGAGAGAGCATTGGTCTTCTCACTATATGAACATCCCTTCTTTATCCCTCCCTTTTTTTTTTTAATCCTGTAGTCCAGAGAGGTTGAAATGTCTGATAACACAGCAGGTTTGCGATATGAAAGAGATGAGAACCTATCTGGTCTCCTAGTATCCAATACAGTATTCTTTCCCTGACATATTCTTTTTAAATATATTTTTATTGAAATGGGCGATTATGACAAAGGCCTTAGGAGAGCTCGGTCCAGGGGAGCAATAGAGAAGAACTCAGAGAAAAAGACAGGCTCTGTTGTCCCAAACATTTTCCTTATATCCCTGGCCTGCTGTTTCCCCTGAGAGCACCCTGGAGCTCCAGCACTCCGTCACCTTCTTTCTCCCATTTTGCCTGTGACTTAGGAATGAACATGATGGTTAAGCTACCTTCATTAAGCAGCATGACCGCTTCCTGAGCTCCTGCTGCCGCATTTAGGCCCTGTCAGCTGTGAGGCCACTGGTGCTGAGTCAGAGGGAAAGGCTCAGAACAGCCTTGAGCAGCGAAGAATAAAGTGTGACTCATCTCGTCCTGCCCACCCCTCACACTGGACTATAAATACGCTCCCTGGGTCTGTGTGCTGTTATTCCAAAAGATGTGTTGAATACCCAGAACTAGGCTATTCATGGGCTGTTGCCCAGTTCAAGCTGTTGGGTCCTGAGGAAGATTACTATTTTGGCTACATTGTTTATCATTAAAACCAGCCCAGGAATGTGTAAACCCGCATGTGGAGAATAAGAAATTTCTTTTTGGTTAAATGATATTAGAGAAAAAACCATCCAAGGCTGCTAACAAATAATCTTCACTTTCAATTATATCCAGCAATAAGTTGTTTTCCAGAAACGGAAGCTTGGAAGCTTACCGGGTTTGCCTTCCACCTGGGACATGACTGATGTGCTTCAGTCTTTGTATAATAACAAATGCATCTTCGCCACTCTGTATCTTGGTTATTGCTTTTGTCTCATTATCAGAACAACTTCCTTCCCTGATTTCCACAGCCTCTATGTGTTCTTTTCTCTAGAAGACTAGCTGTGAAGACTTAGAGGTGGGTTCTGTGCACTCGCTTCCCCTTAAAAATGTGATTTACTTTTATGGTAGAACTTTCTGGTACTTTGAATTAAACAGGACATTCTTCCCTTTGGCCACAGAGGCAAGTATGGAATGAGATCCTTGTTTCCTAACCACTTACTAGAACATATATCTGAAGAAATGAGCACCAGTATTTCTGTCTCAACTACAGTTTCTCTTTTCTTTTCTTTTTTTTTTCTGTCTCAACTACAGTTTCTCTTTTTCTTTTCTCTTTTTTTCTTTTTTTTTTTTTTTTTGAGATGTTGAGTCTGTTGCTCCGTGTTCGCCCAGGTGGGCTGCAGTGGCTGGATCTCGGCTACTGCAAGCTTCATGGCTCTCCCGGGTTTACACCGACTCCGTTCTCCTGCCCCTCGACCTCCCAAGTACGCTGGACATTATAGCGCGGGCCTTGCCACCTCGCCTGGCTTAGTTTTTTGGTATTGTTTTTAGTAGAGACGGGGTTTCATCGCTCGTTAAGCGCAGGGATAGTGTCCGGATTCTGCTGACCTTCGTGATCCTCCGTCTCGGGCCTCCCAAAGTGCTGGGAGTTACAGGCTTGAGCACGCTGCCGGCTAGAGATTGGGATGGGTTTCACCGTGTTGGGCCAGGGATTGGTCTCGGATCTCCCTCGCCCTCGTGAATCCGCCCGTCGTCGGCCTCCAAAGTGCGGGTCTACAGGCCTTGAGCCACTGCGCCCCGGCGCTTTTTTTTCTTTTTCTTAAGACAGGGTTCACCCTGCTTTACCCAGGCTGGGCTGTCAAGTGGGCACCATTCATGCCTCACTTGCAGGGCCGTTGTGGGACTTTCTGC